AATCCAGGTATTCTTCTGTTGGACATTGCATTTGATTAAGTTAATGATTTAGGGTTTTCATGGTAGGCGAGTACGCTGGGCGTACAAGGTGTACGCTGCGTACTCGCGCACCTCATTTGGACGCGTTCCCCCTCAGGTACGCGGGGCGTACCCAAGGTTACGCCCGGCGTAACTCATTCAGACCCAAACCCTAATTTCCTTTGTTGAGGCTATAAAAGGAATGTGTGGCTGGACTTCTCAGCCACCACCCCTCAGAGTGAAACCCTAAATAGTGTGTGCCATCGTCCTTAAGCCTTTGTGTGTGCATTCTAAGCTTGGTAGTGCCATTTTAAGGTTGCAAAGGAGAAGAAGAGCTTGTTGGAGAGGCTAGAAGTGGTGCTCAAGTGTAGATCTGAGCTTTGCAAGGGTTAAAGCTTCAATTTCAGGTAAAAAGTTCGGATCTTGACACTTGGTTCTTGTTGTATGCTTTAGATGTCATTTTCTAGGGTTTAAGTCCCAAAGGTGGAGACTTTTGTGCAAATGGCCTCCATAAGCTTAGATGCTTCATGTTTCTGATCTATTGGAGTTGTAGACTCATAAAAATGGCATCTTGGACGTGGGTATTGCACCATGCATGAGATCTAGGTCCTTGAGTTTGAATAAAAGGTTGTTAGTGGTGTTGGAGCCTTTACAGCCATGCCAAGGCTTAAAGGTCTCGACTTTATGGGTTTAGACACACTAAGGAGTCGGATCTGGAAGTTGGATAATGACTTAACTGATTAAGACCAGAAATGGAGGGTGGCTGATTCTGGTGGTTACGCAGGGCGTAACTTCCAGTACGCGCCGCGTACTGGGTGGAGACCCCGATCCGGGGGAGTTGGCGATGTACGCCCTGCGTACATCTAGCGTACGCCCCGTACTCTCATGGTTGACTCTTGTTGACTTTTAGGGTTTTGGTCAACATGAGGACTTTAGGTCAAGGGAAGGGTAAAATGGTCTTTTACCCTTTCAGGAAGGATGATAAGGGGTAAAGTTTTAGTAGTGGAAGTCTTCGTGTATTAAATGATATTTTTATGCTTAGGCGAGGTTGAGCCGTCGTTGGATTCGGTGATAGCGAGGACACGAGATCTTAGACTTCCACGAGGTGAGTTTTCACTATACTGTACCCGAAGGGTTTGACTGTGTGACCGGAAGGTCGAATATGATATGAGATATATGCATTATGTGTGATAAGTTAATCGTTATATGTGCCATGTATGATATGCTTGATATGGGCCGGAAGGCATTATGTTATGGGCCGGAAGGCGTTGTAAAATGGACCGTAAGGTTGACGTGGGTAGGACCGGAAGGTTTACCCAGTCGGGACGGAAGTCCCCTGAGACACATGGACCGGAAGGTCAGGGCCTGGAAAGGCGTATGTGCGTAGGTTGTATTTTGGGGAACTCACTAAGCATTTATGCTTACAGTTGTTGTGTTATGTGTTTCAGGTACTAGCGAGGACCGTGGGAAGGCGCCGGCGTGATCGTACACACACTCGGGGAAAACTATTTTTATGATCTTTGTTATGTAATCGGTCGTGACAATATTGTTTACATTGGAACCTAAACTTTATTACTCGATGTTTTGATGTTTGTAAAAATGAAAAATTGGTTTTAAAATTTACGTCGTTACAAGTTGGTATCAGAGCCTTGGTTTGAGGGATTCGGGTACACCTTCGGGCGTAACTGAACTCAAACCGGGGATTTGAGAAAAAATTTAATAAATCAATAAAATTTGATAAGTGATTTTTGAAACAACCAAAGAAGAAGAGTGTGTACGGTCAGCCAGCGCCCGAACGGTAAAATCCCCAAAATACTCTTACAATATGTGTTATGAGATATGATATGATATACGCATGCTAGTAGACTAGGTATTCATATTAGGACTAGAGTGGCCTGATTTGTGATGCCTTAGTCTAGGGAAACCTGCTTCTATGAGGTGCTTTGAGAGCGAGTGGGTAGCTAGTGCATGGAAAAATAGAGTACTCAGGATCCGGGGTTTGGGGAGGAGGACTTGGGTGAAATGCTGATGCGGTGTAGTTGGTAGTATTGGGCCCGTACTACTGAAACACCGGGTCAGTGGGCAACCCAAGTAAGAATCCTGGGTATCGGAGACTGAGTAGGGCTGCGTTATCGAGTGCGATTATGCTCGATAGAGTCTCTGATATTTTTATGTTGTATTTCAGAGACATCATGGTTGGACCACGCACAGACCTGGTACGAGTAGCGTGACTGACGAGAGCTTCGTCAGATGATTCATGAGGAGGTGGCTGCAGCGATCTGGGCTGAGATTCCGGAGATGTTATGTTTGGGTCTATTAAAGACCACACTGATGGAGACATTTGATGAGCGGTACGCCGCGTTGACTGAGGCCGCAGCCGCTGCAGCTACCGCAGCTGTGGCCGCTGCAAGACCACAGGGAGGTGACTCGTTGCTGTTTCGGGAGTTCAGCAACACGAAGCCACCTGAGTTTGACGGGATGCAGGATCCGATCGCTGCCATGAGATGGATTGCTGATATCGAGGGATGCTTCTACACTTGTTTCATGTCCGGAGCATCTGAGGGTACGTTCGCCTTGAACCAGCTCCGCCTGGGAGCAAAGGATTGGTGGAAGTTCATGACGGCGAAATTCACTCTAGCAGAGGTTTCAGCTGTGACTTGGGAGAGGTTTACTACTATGTTAAAAGATGAGTACGTTCCCCCGGTGGAGAGGGAACGGTTGCTTCAGGAGTTCTTAACCCTCAAGTAGGGTAATGATTCTGTCACGGTGATCACGCGGAAGTTTCATGAGAGGCGATCGTGTTCTCCCGCCAGGTGTCCACGGAGCAGGTTCGGATGAGTCGGTATTTGGGTGTGCTGAGGAGGGATATCCGGAAGTTCGTATCGAACTCGTCATATCAGACTTTTGCTGAGCTTCAGGCGAATGCCAGGAAGCGTCAGATCGAGTTGGAGACCCAGGCCAGGGAGGAGGCCGAGTCTCAACGGGTGGATTGTTGGCCGGCTCAGCTCAGCTCTCAGCCGGCAGCGAAGCGGACCAAGTCCACCGATTCGAGATCCGGAGGACAGAAGGTCCGCACTTGCGAAAAGTGCGGCAAGGGTCACAGGGGCATGTCGATCGGGTGCTTGCTACAAGTGTGGCAAGGAGGGGCACATTGCTAGGGATTACCCCAAGGGATTCATGGTTTGCTTTCATTGCAACCAGACCGGCCATCGGAAGGCCAAGTGCCCCCCAGCTTCGCCAGGGATCTACGCCTGCTGTCAGGGTTACCGAGACTCGACCAGTGAAGGCCAAGGCTCCAAAGGCTCGTGGAAGAGCTTTCCAGTTGACTGTAGAGGAGGTCTGCGCGGTGCCTGATGTCGTAGCCAGTATGTATTCTTTCATGTATTTACTTTTATGCTAAGATATTGTGCTTATATTATGATATGCGTAGGTAC